TGCACACACAATTTATTTTAATATATAAAATAAGTCTTCCAGCCAGGCAGCAGTAGCATTCACCTCTGACCCCAGCCCTCAGGAGGCAGAGGCAGGTGGATGTCTGTGAGTTTGAGGCCAGCCTGGTCTACATAGCAAGTTCCAGGACAGCCAGACTGTTACAAAGAGAAACCCTGTCTCAAAAAAACAAAACAAACAAACAAAAAACCAACATAGTTTTTGTGACTTCAGGGATTTCCGGTTCTCAGCCCTTTCCATATCCACAGTGCCTCACAGACAGTGGCCATGAGCAATCACTACTTGGGGGATGGGTAGAGCAGGTGCCTGGCAGAGCAGAGGCTCCGGACTCCAGCCCCAGCAGCACAGAACTCTACAGATGCAGATGTGAGCGGTGTGCTGGAGAATAAGAAGTGGCTGTGAGTGGAAAAAAAAAAAAAAACAAATACTTTGCTTCATTCGTTCAGGATGAATGCATTTCTCCAGTGCATAGCTGTGTAGCAGGGACCAGCAAGTCACCAGGGACCAGCAAGTCACCAGGGGTCACACAAACATTAGTGATGAGCACAGGGAAACAGAAGCTGGGTACCTTCCTGCCTCCTAGGCAGGTTGGCTTTTCCAAGCCTCACGGTGGGAGGGCTGAATCCACCAGGCTGCATCTGGGGACATATTTAATTATCCAGTGAAGTGTTTCTACTTCTGTAGCTAATTCTGGCACCCGCAGCCCTCTCACTAGGCAAGCGAATGACTCTAGACAGGGACTGTGTGGCCAGAAGGCCGCTGCTGTCCTGCACATCTGGCCCCTTCCCTGGAGTTCATCCTTAACAGCTGTCTGCCTGCAGTGGCTGCCTCCCACCCCTGCCAAACAGGGGCTTGAGCTCTGGTGAGCAGAACAAATAATCCTGGGGAATGCTGGGAGGCACCTCCAGATTTAACCACTTAATCCCCAAAGTGCCCCATCTAGCTGGCCAGCCAGCCCAGCATTAATTCATTAGGCAACCCCATTATCTTCCTTGCAAGTGACCACAGGGTCCTCCTTTCTCCTGGTCTTCTAGTACCAAAGCAGGAGTCTGCTGCCCTCCCCTGGCTCCCCTCTCAAAGACTGATCCAGGGCCCATTCTCTCGCGCTCTCTCCCCTCCCCCTCAGCTCCCAGCGCCCTCCCTCACCACTCTCCACCTAGCCTCTTTTGTTTCTCTCCGGTGCCTTTGGGCCGTGACTAGAGTAGGTTACCTCACCCCTTTCCTCCAGGCCTCACCAGCCTCCTAGGTGTGCCCTTCGGCCCCCTCCCCCATTACCGTACCAGGTCCTCATCCACCGCAGCCCCCAGGCTAGGGGAAGGTGGCCAGCACTTCAAACTGGAAACTCCAGCTTCACTTCACACCTTTCCAGGGACTCAGGTAGAGGCGCGCTCTCTGCCTGAGTGCATCTTTTCCATTTTGAAGTGATAAGAATGGCCGAGATGAGTGGATTAACAGCCAGGCCCAGCACAGGCCACTTTTAAATAGCTGCTGTCTTAGCACCTCCCATCTTGTCTGCCAACTTAGCTGTGGCTCTTACCTGAGATCACACTGCCCAAAGACCAGGTACCCCACCTCCAAGCTGGAGATGGAAGCCAGGACCTCCTGCGTGCTGAGCAAACCCCTGGGCACTGAGCCATATTCCCAATTCTTCTGATCCCTCCACCTGCCTCCTCCTATATATGAAACTCAGATAAATTCACCCATGTGTGCACATTCGGAGACCAGAGGTGGAGGCCAGATGTCTTTATTGCCCTTCCCTCCTCCACACCTCATTTTAGTGAGGCTGGCTGGCTGGACAGAATCCTGTCTCTGCCCTCACTCCAGCCCTCCCTCTAGAGACTTGTACACTCTAGCCCTCCCCCACAGGACTTGTACACAGACACAGGGGACACAAACTCAGGTCCTCATGCTTGCACAGCAATCACTTTACCCACTGAGCCATCCCCCAGCCTCCACTGCCTCGTCATGAACTGACTTCCCAAGAGGGCAAGTAAGAATGGATGGGCAGACGGCTCAGTGGGCACAGACATAGCCAGCCCAGCCTGGGGACTTGCATTTGATACACAGGAGAAGAGAACAACACCTTCAAATTGTCCTCTGACCTCTGCACGTGTGACACAGCACTTATGTGCCCACAAACAATGGATAAATAGAATAAAAAATATATATATATATATAAAATCTCCCAAAAGAATGGTGCAGTTCCTAGCAATGAACATGGCGGGATGCGGCCTATGTTGGAAAGAAAAACTGAATCTGTTTTTCTTTTATTGGCAACTTTGAGGAAACAAATGTTACTGGCTCATAGCTGGGGCTCAGATAAGTTTGTTGAGACCCTGCTTAGACCTAAGCTCCTAAAAGATTTGGAGTGGTGTCTCTGAGTCCAACACCCTTGCCCAGACACAGAAGATGGACATAAGCATTCCCCTCCCCCCCACACTGGGTAAAGTGGAGAACACCCCACATTGAGTACACAGAACTCAACAAGGCACCCTCTTGGTTGGTTGGCTTTCCTTGCTCTAGCCAACTGGGGCAGACTGGGAAATGCTGGGCTTGGTCCTCTTGTCATGGGAGGAGGTAGCAAGCCCAAGGGGAGGACTCCCCCCCCATTCCCGATATGGGCTCCAGGGAGTGCAAGGGACCAGCTAGAGGAAAGCACTGGCATCTCCAGAGGTCAGGAGCACTTGTAGAGGTGAGAACGGATGGATGGGTGTGGCTGCTGTGGGGGATGCAGGAGGCAGGAGAGCCTAGGAGCTGGAGTGTGGTTTGGGCTTCCCAGTCAGGGTGCATCAGGGAGCTTCCTCAGAAACAGAAACAGAGCTAGGGTAGAAAAGTCAGTTCTGAGGTGACATCGGCTGTCACTCCTGCACACAGCATCCACACCGCTTCAAGGAAATCGTCATCAGTACCCTCCCGCCACCGTCTTTTTCGGAGTCCTGAGCACCCCAGCTCCTGATGTGCATACACACCAGTACAGGTAAGGCACAACCTCCAGCCCAGGTCCCGAGTCTTTGGTCTCCTAAGTGGACCGAGGCTAATAGAACACTTCTGTCATCCCGCCTGTGCCCTAAGACATCCACATCCCAGGCCCTTCTCTATCGATCGGCCTTTCCTCCCTTCCCATTGACTTTTGCACCTGCCAAGTCTTCTCCACCGCCCCCCCCACCCCAAACCTGCCTTTCTCTCTCCAATTCATCTCGTGCTTTTCCTTTCCTCTTTCACCTTCTTTCTGCCTTCTCCCAAATTCCACATTTTGGGCGTCAAGTCTGTGGCACCCTCAAAAAGTATTGATCCCACCCCCGGGATTCCGCAACAGCTGTACTTTTGAAAAGAGAGTCAGAGGGGAGCAGTGCATGGGACCTCCAGAGCCAGAGAATCGGGCTCAGGGCGCCCCAAAGCGACACTTCTCTGCACCAGCGCCTGGGCTGCGCGAGCCCACGCGACATCTGTCGCCCGCGCTCCCGGCTCACACCCCGCTCACCCCCGCAGCTCCCCGGGCGCTGCCACCCCCCACGCTCCGGCTGCCGCCTCTCCCTGCGGCGCCTCGCCAGCTTTCCAAGGTGTCTGCGCGCCCGCGGGGCTGGGCCAGGATCCGCGCGACGTCTCCGGGTCTCTGGTGACCTCATCTGTGATCTTCACCTCTGGACCCATCTCTCGGAGGTCAACCTAGCCACCACCACCCCTTCCAGGCCCACTCCCGTTCTCTGGAGCTTCTCTACTCAAGAACCTAGGAAGAGGACCCTGACACTTCTATCCCCCCCCCCCGACTAGCCTAGCACAACGCCTGGAACACAAGGAATGCTCACAGGTCCCCCTACCAAGGACACACCTATAGTCTCCTGACATCAAACGTGAGATGCTCAGCACCCCGTGACCACCCGGAGTACAAAGCAGGCTCCCACACCTCACACCGCGTCTACTGGAAGTGACCGGAGGCCAAGCTCTAAACCGCGACACCTCGCGGTAAAAGGAGCAACAAAGTTACCGGGGAGATGGGACGCTGAAGCGCGCTTGCCTTGGGGATCGACGACTAAGACCCAGCCAGTGAGAAACTTCCATGGGGTGGGGCGAGGGGGTCGTCACAGAGAACGGGGATTCACAAACTGCAAACATGAGGAGAGGGGAGTTAAGAGCAGAGAAACGGAGACCTGGTCAAGCCTGGAATGGCTGGTGGCTTGGCTGGGACTTGGGACTCTAGGATCGGTGGGGGGGGGTGTGCTTTTTTAGCTCTGTCCAGGGTGATTCCACTGCACGCGTTTACTGGGGCTGGTGACGATGGAGGTGGCTTCAGTCCTTCCGTGTTGGGGAGGAGGGAGGGGGAGAGAGGATGGAGAGGGAGAGGAGAGAGTGGAGAAGGAAGGAGAGAGAGGGGCGAGAGAAGACAGAGGGAGGGAAAGAGGGTGTTGTCAAGAGGGAGAGGGAGGGAGGAGGCGAGAGGGAGAAGAGACCGCAGAGGAGAGGGAGAGAGGAAAACACTGAAGAAAGACAGGATAGGGTGGGAAGAGAAGAGAGAGGTAGACATGGGAGACAAGTGGGAAAGAGTGAATCCATGGAGGAGAGGGAGAACGAGAGGGGAGAGAGAGGGAGAGAGAGAGAGAGAGGGAGAGAGAGAGACACACACACAGAGAGAGACAGAGAGAGGGAGAGAGAGAGACAGAGAGGGAGAGAGAGAGACACACACACACAGAGACAGAGAGAGGGAGAGAGAGACAGAGAGGGAGAGGGAGAGTTGGAGGAGAGTGAAGAGTGAAGACAGAAGCGATAAACACAAGTGGAAGAAATAGGGAAGAGAGAGAGGGAGGAGAGAGAGAGAGAGAGGGAGGGAGGGAGGAAGGGTGGGATGCGGCGCGAAGCAGACGCTCAGGATCTGGGTGAAAGGGACAGGACAAGTGAGGAGGCCCGGCCCTCTGCCCGCGGCGGTGGCGCCCTGGCTCCCGCCATCACGCTCGCTCTCCCGCCCGCCCCCCGCCTCGCCCGCGTACCTGTTGCTCGGTCCGGGCTGGGTCTCGGCTCCGGTCCCCCCACCAAGAAGGCCCCGCGCGCGCAGCCTACGCGCTCCGCCTGCCGAGCAGCCAGGCCGCCAGCGCCGCCACCTGCGCGGCCGCGCACAGCCAGGGCCAGCGGGCGCGGAGCGCGGGCAGCAGCGCAGGCAGCGGGTCCCGGGGCCGCGCGCGGCGCCGCATGGCGCGTCGGTGCAGCTCGTCGCCCAGCGCCTGCAGCCTCAGCGCGGTCACCTGCGCCGCCGCCCAGCGCAGCCCGGGGCGAGTGTCGCCGCAGCCGCACACGGCCGGAGGCCCGTGGCCGCGATGCCGGGGACACGGGCACATGGCGTGCGGAGGAGCCTCCCCGGACCCCAAGTTTCGCCCTGCGCCGCGCGTTTGTTGTGCTGACGGCGCTATTATTAATTAAAGTGTCACATGGTGGAGGGGGCGGGGAGGGCGCGGGGAGGGGGTTACATCATCCGGCCCGGAGGAGGGGGGGGGCGTGTGTGCAGGAGAAGAAGCCGAGAGGTAACTTTTAACCCTCGCGACGCCGGCAGGGCGGGGACAGGCGGGGACAGGCGGGGACGCGGGGCTTCGGGGATGCTGGCCCGAGGCGTCCACTGTCTCGCTTCTCAGGCTGCGGGAGGCTCCAGCTCGGACGCAGCCTCCGAAGCCAGCTCGGTGCACACTGGGGATAGAGCTCTGGGCGAGTTCGGCTGTTACTCGAAAAGATCCCCTGGCCGTAGGGTGGCCTGGGTGGCGGGAGGCCGGGGGATTCCAGCCCACTTGCCTAGTTTCGGGGCTGAGTCGACACCTGCAGCTTTTGGGTCGGTGCACACATTCCTCACACGCGTTCACACCCCCTTCTGGTGACCTGACCTAAGCACACCCCGGGGTGAGAGCCTGAACCCTGGAATGGGGGCGCGGTGGGGAGGAGGGCCGGGGTTGGAGGGGTTGGACTCCAACTCCGCGGTGAGGTGAGTCTCCAGTCTCCCTTGCAGTCAAGAGACGCCCCCCATTCTCCCCAGGGACCTTTCTAGAGAGAAGTTCTTATTGCATGCTTGCTTTGTGAATGCTACCTTTCCTAACCGGGTTATGGTTTGCAGCGGACCCTGTAAGGCACTGCTTGGCGCCTGGTGAGGTGACCTAACCCGAAGACAATTCAGTTCTGCTCCAGCCTAGAAGTCCGCTGGAGAGGGTGCCAACTAGCTAGGGAGTTCTTGGGGCTTCTTTGGGTGTTAGGGAGACTTGCCCCCACCCCTCCATGTCAGATCCACTGGGATTTGGACCTGGAGGAGCAGAGAGGTGTGTCTCCAAGCCAGTGACCTTAAAACCTTTGAGAAACTGTCAGATCTGTAGAGCATTAAGGCCTGAATTGGGCTTTGGTCCCTTGGGAAAGATTTTTCACGACCATGAACTTGGTGGAGGAGCGCCTGATCATAATCCTCCAGTTCCAGCACTGTAGAAGCAGAGGCAGGTTCAAAGCCAACCAGGCCCACATAGTGGTCCCAGGCCAGCCAGGGCTACAGACAGGGGAGAGAGCCTTATAATTAAAAAACCCAGAGTCAGGGATGACGACTCGTGGCTGTTCAGTCCTGTGAATCCATGTGATCCAAAGAGAAAACTGATATCCATAGTATGTCCTCTGATCTCCATATGCATACTATCCTATGTGTACGAACACACATGAAATAGATTAATAAATTGTTAAAGAGAAACGCAAACCAAAAGACATAAAACTATGATCTCGCCTTCTTGTGATTTTTGTTTTGTCTTGTTTCACATAGTCCTGCTATGTAGTCCAGGCTGGCACTTAACTGGGAAGTCTCCTGCCTCATCGTCCTGCGTGCTGAGATGACAGGTATGCAGTGACACAATCGGCTTGGCTTATTTTTGTCTGTGTTCATGGCATCTCCCTTAGCAGCTTGGTGAAGTGACACTCAGAGCTCAGCATAGCCACCATCCCTGTGTGCTCTTGGTGGCCCTAACGTTCACCCAGCCTCAGCTCACCTTCCCTAACAACAGCCCACACTGGCCCTAACGTTCACCCAGCCTCAGCTCACCTTCCCTAACAACAGCCCACACTGCCCAGTACCTCCCGTGTCAGCAGGCTCGCCAAGGTCCTGGCTGGTGCGCCTACAAAGAATCTGTTGCTGCCCTGTTTCTAAGATGAAGAAGCCAAGGCCCCCGTCCATGAGGCCTCTTGCCCAAGATAGGGGTTAGTGCAAAGCAAAGCCTGGCCCTGAACTAGGGCACCCAGTGGCAGGCACCAAGCCCTAGCCATGGTGAGACTGATAATGCCTCCCTCCAGGACCAGGGCCCAGACAAAATGAAAGGACTGTGTGCCAAGCACCTGGCATGCAGTGGGCCCAAATAAACCTTGGTCCCCTCCGCTTCTGGCCAGAACCACTTTCCCATCTCCTGGGACTCCAGCTCCCTAATCCCAGCCATCCTTACGGAGGACAGCTGAACCACTGCCCAAGTGTAGTGGTCCAAGACTGAAGATACAGTGTCTATTTAGAAAGCCCTTTGGATTTAAACTGAACAATCCCCCCTCCCTTTTAATCTCCACGCTTTTAACGGCTCACTTCATGGACATTAATTTTAATGGGACGATTATTGCCCTGTTTGGAAGCCTGCCCCTCGAAATGTTGGGCTCACAAGGTGGCACTGGGTTGGCTCCCAGCAGCTTGGATTTTATTTTATTTTTAAGCAGGGAGAGCGCAGCTTTGGCTGTGGGGCAGAGAGGAGAAGGGGGTTATGGGGAAATGGGGTCAAAGGAAGGACCCTTTCTCCCCATCACCGAATTAAAGTATCTAAAGCTCATACCAGTTACCCTTTGCCCCTCTTTGTACTTGGTCACTGGGAGCTTGGCCTTGAGATGTGGCCTTTAAAATTTTTTTTTGTGTGTGTACATGCACACACACACACACACACTTGCACACATGTGCAGGTCAGAGGACAATTTGCAAGAATCAGTTCTGCCCTTCTACCATGTGGGGCTCGGGGGCTTGAACTCCAGTTATCAGGCTTGGTGGCAAGCACCCTTATCCACTGAGCCCCAAGACAGGCCCTTTTGAAATTTCCGTTTCTTTAACTATGAAGTAGAGATGATATCAGTATTGACCTCACAGGCTTAGGGATCTTGTAAACCACCCCCATCCCCACTAGCATGGAGCCTAGCATGTGGTCTTAGCCGGGCTTGGATAACACAGGCCTGTAATCCCTGCAGCTCAGTGTCTCCACTGAGCTTCAGAGTGAATTCAAAGTTAACTTGGGCAACTTAGACAGAACCTGTCATGTTGGGTATGTAGCTGGCAAATACTTGTTGAGAAGCCTGACCCGTGGAATGAATGGATCCTTAACTGGTTAACTGATAGTGACTGACTGGGTGAAGGCTTGAATAAATAAATGTCTGGCCGAATCTCCGACTGATGAAAATATTTTAATTGGCCTTTTCCTCCTTTAATGTACACTGGGGGGGGGGTGTGGGCTGGAGAGAGAAAGCTCAGTGGCTAAGTACATTTGCTGCTCTTCCAGAGGATCCAGGTTCAGTTCCCAGCACCTATAACTGGCAGCTTATGACCCTTGTAACTCCAGGTCCAGGGAATCCAATGCCTTCTGGCTCCTGTGGACACCTGCACAAATGTGTCAAATACTTACACACACACACACAATCTAAAAAATACAGAGATACATATGGAAATGTTATAAATAATGCCATATGGACATTATGTGTATGTGTGTATGTATGCATGTATATGCATGTATGTGTAGTCTGGCTTAGATCATTCTCTTACCTCCTACAGAAACCAAACATGATTTGTTGGAGAGCCAGAGAGCCTTTCCTTGGGTATTTTAATGCATGTGGCTGTGTATAGTGGTAAATGAAGGGACAGCTGTTGCCTCCCCCAGACAGCTGTGTTTCTGGAAGACATCTGTTTATGCCAAGCCCAGATCGGATGCCAGGAGTCAGCTCACAGCACCATGCCTTCTCTACTCCAAGCCGGAATAGCAGGGTGATAAATTTACATGTAGGAGCCTGGGGGACCTGGGTGGTGGTGGCTGTACTCAATGACAGCCAGGAGCCTTGGCAGTCCCTCCTCTCGCTGGGCCTTGGGGTTCCCATCTGTAGGTTGGGAATGAAAACTCTACCATGGCTATGGCTGTGTGTACTTCAGCAGAGAATTTGTGCTGGGGGTTAGTGACATAGTTGACACTAAAAATTACTTGTGATCTTTGTGGATGTCTTGGGATTAGTAAATATCCCCTTAGGAAGCAAAATAGGGATCATGACCCAACCCCACTGAGAAAACAGGGAGAGTCAGTTCTCAGGGAACTTGGAACCTGTATCTCACAGTTATTCCCAGGGGAGTCCCCTCCATCTGACAGGCCCAGAGCAGAATGGCTCTTGTCCTTCATGGATATCCTGAGAGATAGGTATCCCCTTCTCTGGGGGCTTCCTAATGACCCCTGTGATGCTTTCCCTAAGGGCCTTATTGTTGAATATAAGAGCAGGTGAATGGCCATGTCAGGGAAGAAAAAAAAAATCAACCATCCCTTAATTATAGTCTCACAGTACGGTTGAAGGGGGGCAAACCTCGATTGCATAAGCCTAATTCCTTGATTAGGAGTCAGGAGACAGGGGGCTGATTCAGCTCCTGCCCCTGCTGTGAAAATTATACTTTATTGCCCCTCATTCAGGCAATAATCACCTCCCTGAGGTGGGATAGATTGGAGCTGATAAGGATGGCGTTGAGGGTGAAGGTGACTGCCTCGCAGAGATAAGGACAGTCCAGGGACGGAACATGGTCCCCTCAGACCCCAAGACCCCATTCCTAGAAAGTCAGTCTAGCCCATTGCAGGCAGGTGTTCCCTGGTCTCATCCTCAGAGCTAAAGGGCATATTGGCATCTAGTAGACAGCTAGACAGCAGACAGAGCCCTGCTCAACACCCTGCTGTGCACAGAGTACAAACTATCTGGCCCCAATGTCAATACATTGTATTCCAGAGCCTCCCGCCAGACAGGTTGCCTCAGCACGCATTTGGTTCAAGAAGCAGAAGTACTGTCCCACTTCAACCAGATAGCGTTTTATTATCCATTTGACCACTCCAAAGGGCTTGGCAATTTACAGCCTGTGTGCCCACCCAGCCCTTGCCCACTCTTCTAATAGTTTTATTGCCCTGAGGTCACCCTCGTTCATTTCTGTATGGTATCTCAGTGTCTCGAACCTGCAGCAGAGTTGAATCGCTTTGGCATGATGTACAGCTCACATAAGGTACACATCAGAGCTGGCTGTCAGGACTCTTAGGTGTGACGGGTGCTGGAGGGGAAGGACTAAGTTTCCTGTTGGAAGTATCTGGTTGCTGACATTGCTTACCAGGGCAGGAAAATGTTGGATGAGGTTCCAGAG